ATAAAACAAACAAAAAAACAAAATGTTAATGTCAATTTTCAAAAACTAATATAATATAACAATTAATATTAACGTTTATTAGTATATAAATTTTAATAATTAATTATAATATTTATTAATAAACACTTGCCACTCATTAAGAAAAGTGAAATTTTATTTAAAATAAAACATACATATAATCATAACAAGCAAATAGTAGCTGTTGCAGGGGTTAATGAGTATAGAAAAACATTTCTTAAAAATATATTAATGTAAGGGGGTCATAACAATATGTAAACAACACAAGGGGTGTTTTGATAGTTTTGACATAATTGAAGGAATGTGTTTTTGAAATAAATTAATTAAATATTTGAAAGGGGTGTAATTAGAAATGCCCATGAGAATTTAAAGAGATAAACATCAAATATAAAATATTTATATATAATAAATTAATATAAATATAATATATTAAAATTTATTGTGTATATATCTTAGTATATAATATAATATATAAAAACATTTGCTTATTATTTTAAATATAATTATAGATATTTTATACGTTAAAATTTATAAATACTATAATATATATATATAATTACATTAAGATTTTAATTGAATCAGATGTGTTTCATCTTAAAATTAGGGTTGTTCATAAGAAGGCCCAACCCGACCAAACCGACCAATCCGGACCGACCCAACCTGAGTCGGCCGGGTTATCTTTAGCACGGGTCGGTTTCGGTTTTCTTGTGTGAAAACCGAAATCGATCCGAACCAAATTGACTAATTGTCCCTCTTCAAATCTATTACATTGGCTAGATTAATGATTGTAATTAACTGTCCTGAAGTCTCCCTACAAAATTCACACAAATCCCAATTAAGACAATTAAACTTCAAAATTAATATTAATCAAAGGGATAGGTTGGTGGTTTTGGAGATAAAACTTAATTACTGAAAAGATATATAACATATATACCTCTATGATAGGCATTATTATTATATATGAGTTTTGCTCTTCTTCTCCTCTCCAAAGTCCAAACTGTGGATTAGAGGTATATCCTGTTTATCAAAAACAAGGTTTTTCCCGCATTTACTACCTCACATACTGTGGTGCCACAGTCCCCACATATATATTGCAATTGAGTTTCTATCAAACATGGTTGAACTTAGAGCCGAAACCGACCCAAACCGACCCAATCCGACTCAAACCGGCTATGTTGATTTTGCTTAACACTTGATCGATTTCGGTTTAAAGTTCAGATAACCCGACTAGATCAGGTCGATTGAAAAAACCTCAATAAATCGACCCAACCCAACCCATGAACAGCCCTACTTAAAATCCATAAAAGCACATCATTAACATCAGATGATAAAAATGATGCAACGTAACCCGGAGACAAAAATAGTTCTTCTCCAAGTCGGTTTTATGAAAAAAAAAACTTTATATGAAAAACAAACTAACAATCAGCCAATACGAAAATTTCAATGTCTAGAAAAAGCGGAGGCTCATTATACATGCCATCAAATATAAAGACATCAATCTTTATTGTCTAAATACTTATAACAAATAAACAAATAAAAAACATTTCATTGTTTACAGATGCAATCAATTAAAAAGAAATGGAGGCTCATTGAAATGAGTCAAATGACACTGTCAGCACTCAGCCGTTTGATGTTGCAATCGAATAAAAAAAGTAATGGAGGTTCATTGAAAGGACACCATCAACTGTCTGACGTCTCGAGCCTCAGCCTTGAGCCTCCTACACCTTGTGAGAAATGAACTAAATATTTGTTAAATGAAATACTTTCCATCTGTAATTCCCAATCAATCACTAAAACCACTGTTATATCAATTTTAAATTTCGATTAACGTCTGCACATTTAACAAATCAGAAAGATTTTTTATTTTAAATCCCCATTCCATGAAGAATATTTTTTTATCCATCAAATTGGTCGACTTCCGACCATGTATATAATTCATTCCAATTCTATGAAAATCACAAAACAATTAATTAAACAAACAAAAAAAAGAAAGAAATCATGTTGGGCCGTTCAACTTACAGTTGGCTATTTACCCAGTTCCTCTGTTCTTCTTCAATCCTCACACTTCCCCCCACCCCTAAATTACGTGTTGTGAGCAACAACCACTGAATAATAAGAGCAATCATTCACTAAGGTGTGGCTACAGCTGGAGGTCCATGGAGGGAGTCTGGCCGTCTGATCCCTTTGAGTCTTTGACGGTTATCAGACGACTGACGTAAACCATCATCCATCTCCGTCCCATTAATATCCTCTATCATCCACACTGCTACCTACCTAAAAATCAGGCCGTTGATCAAGTACAGTCGACCCACACCATGGCTATCGCAATTGCACCATCTCTTCCTCTATGTTCTGATATTTCGTTACCACCACATCGAACACCTCAACCATCCATTCTTCGATCTCTCACCATTGACTGGACCCACGTAGGCAAATCTATCCCTTCTTCCCTAAACGATGCCTCATCCGGGGCCTTCCCTGTCAACAACTCTAGTAACAATACAACTGATGTAACCTTCACGTACCAATTTTTTGTGATGTATTAATTTTTTTTTGATAAGTATTTCATCATTTGACCTGCTTCCAAGAGAGGATGGTGGAGCTTCTTGGTGGCGAACTGCCTGGGGGAGAGCTATGCCGAGCTCCCTGATGGCGAACTGCCTGGGAGAGAGCTATGTCGAGTTCCCTGGTAGCAAACTGCCTGGGGGAGAGCTATGGCGAGCTGATGAGAGATACCTTGGTGGACTCATCATTTGACCTGCTCCTAGGTGGCCTGTGACTCAGAGGATGGTGGAGTTCCCTGGTATAGCGCAACCCCTCTCCTTTGTAGGCGGTGGGAGCTGAGAGACCTGCGAGAACTCATCCTCCTCTTTGTAGGCGGCGGGAGCTGAGGAACCTGCGAGAACTGAATCAGAGGACCCGGGGGTATTTATCCGGCGGGGACTCTCCGATGCCTAAGTTAGCATTATGGTTGTAGAGAGTTTGAAGATAAATGAGAGAGCTAGAGAGTAGGGATTACCTCCATTTTTCCATTCTCTCCCCCTTTTGTCTTTGGGGGTCGGAGTCCTTATATTGCGGTGTCCTGTCAAATCAGGCGTAACTGCCTCTGTCAAGTCAGGCATAACCGCCTCAGTCTCTCTGCCGCAGCCGCTACTGCCAGAGCTGAGGTGGCGGATGCAGGCGGCTATTGTAGACTACGACTCTGCCAGGCAAGGGACAACTCTCAGGTCTAGCAGGCACGGCGCCGCCTGGCGAGAGACGTGGGCGCAGGTCTCTGGATCTATCAGGTACGGTTATCAGGCAGGAGAACTTCCTGCGATATGCCGAACTGCTCTTCTATACCGAGCTACCCTACAAGTGGCGAGCTGCTTGGGGGAGAGCTATGTTGAGCTGCTTGTGGTGAGCTCTATCGAGCTGCCTGTGGCGCGTTGTGGCAAGCTCTGCCGAGTTGCCTGTGGCGAGCTCTACTGAGCTGCCCAGTTGTCAAGAGGCTGCACTTATTTGGCATGATGTGCCAGGTGTCACAATTTCACTAGAGGGCCAAATCCGTCCTTGTCATAAACCATTAAATTATAGTTTTTTACATTTAAATAACTTATTTACAATCATATAAAATTTGTAAATATAGTTAGTAATATATATTTTTAGGGTTTATTTGAATTTTCTACCATATATACGTATCTTAATTTTTCGTCCGTATCCATATGTATCAAAAGTATGCCTCGATACATCTCTTAAAGTTGTCTTTCCAATACACCCTGTGTTTTCGATACTTTGAACCTTGGTTGCCGGTCATAGGAAGGGGACGAGGGAGGGATATTGGGTTTTAAAAGAATTTTAAATGTCATATGGTTTCACGTGGATACGGGTTTTGGCGAAATATTAACAGATGTTAATGGTAAGGGTAGAGTTGGTCAATTTTCTGAAACAGTGGGGGTAATGTTAGTAAATTTTCAATTAGTAAGGGTGCACATAGTCAATTAGCTAAACAATGAGGGTAGTTTAATAAATTTACCCTTTTAAACATAAATTTTAATTTTGAATTTGAGTGCCTTATGTGGGCAAGCCCAAATTTGAGGACAAGTTGGGGCAGGCTGGACTAGGTTTTAGCTTAACCTAGGCCCAACCCAAAAATTTGCCCTTAAAGCCCAAGGTCGAGGTCAAGCCTGAATTATTCAACATGAGCCCAACTTGCAACCCACACTAATATTTGATGTACTTGGGTTGGGCTCGGGTTAGTCAATCCCACCATACTAAAACTTGATATATATGTATATACATGCATGCATATCTACATACATTTGCATTAAATTTTGATGTTGGCTGATTGATCAATCCAAACCCAACCCAAGTGTATCAAATAGGGGTGTAATAGAGCCGAGTATCAAGCTACTTGAGCTCAAGCTCGAAGCTTGAATCGAACTGGTTATAAATAAATTAATATTAATAATTAAAAATAAATCAATATTAAGTATATTAAAATTTATAAATAAAAATAAATTATAAATGTATTTATTTATATTATAAATAAGTTAATATCAAAAAATTAATGTTAATTTATATTATAAATACAGATATATTAAAAAAATATTATTTTATTATGAACTCAATTAGGACCGCAAGCCACTCGAGTAGGTTATTATGAAGCTTGAGCTTGATTCGACCAAGTACTTGACTTGAGTCGAGCTCGACTCGAACTCGATTACTGTGAGGAGTTCGAGTATTTAGCGAACCGAGCCCGAGCAGCTCGCGAGTAGGCTCGGCTTGCTTACACCATTATCAAATTTCGGTTCGAATTAGGTTGGACAGTTTGGGCTTGACCTCTTGGGCCTTAGGGCCAATTCTTTAGGTTGAACATTGAACCCGGACTGGACCGCCCGATTTACACCGTACTTAGTACTTACGCCCAAAATTCGGAGCTGGGCCGCATCCGACGGTCCGGTCCATGATCATTTCGTGCATATAAGACCTGTGGAGCTGGTTTCCTACTCTGCAAGGCAACCAGCTCGCTAATTCATCGAACTCCGACCGTTTCAACCTGAAAAAGATGGACGAAGATGCCGCCCGTCGCCGGACCGTCACGGCTGAGTATCGGAAAAAGCTCTTACAGCACAAGGAGCTTGATTCCAGAGTAAGAACAGGTTCGTGCAAATTAGATTCAGAAACCCTAGCTTTCATTTTTCCCTGTTTTCGCTCCAAGGTTCATTTGTATTTAAGTTTAAGTTTCTCTATTATCAAATCTGTAGTCCTATTTTCGGAAATTGGGGCTTGTAATGTGTATTAATAAGAAGAGTTTATTTTCATTCCCTGGATTCTCTCGGAAGATTAGGGTTTTCTCTTTGACGTTTGAGGGATCTTTTACAGGTGTTAGTTTCATCAGTAGTTTGAATAAACCTGCGTCTAAATACTCAAAACTTAGTAGGAAAGTTTAACTGATAATACAAACTCATGAGCTCGAGTGAAGAACTTAACGGGATCTGCATTGAGATTAAATAAATAGTGTACCACAACCCTCTCGAGTTATTCATATAATTTGATTTGTTTAACTATTTTGTATATATCTTTTTCTTTATATTGAATGCTGCATATTTTGGGACTTAAGTTCTGAATTTTGTATATTCATAAAAAACGTTCTGTATTTTGTGCAATTAATTATCATGATGTTCCATTAATTTGTATATGACTGGTGGAAAAGAAAAGAGTATTCTTGGAAATGTACCTGAGGAAGATACATCCATACAAGACATTCTTTTAACCTGAAATTGTAGAGGCGAGCACCTTTCCTTGGTGCAGATTGATATTTATTCTCTTTGATCTGACACATGGTCAGGTACGCCGCACTTTGGAAGAGAACAACTAGTGTCCATTAACTTGGGGTGGCATGTTTTGCCAATGGTAATTTTAACATTCCACGTTTATGCTATGCCATAGATATAGACACATGGTAGAAAAATGTTACTCTATAGACTCACTTGAAAAGTGATAAGATATATCTTTGTGGAATTTAATTTTATTTTTATATGCCATATTGCATTAGCTATTTAAAAAAATTAGAAAATGAAATCATTTGGGTTAATGGAGATCAATTGACGATTCCTAATAGGGAGGCTAAGAAGTTGGAGAGATTAATGAGAACATTTCTTTGGGAGCCAGGGGAGGAAAAATGATATTTAATTAATTGGGAAATAGTCTATAGGAGTAAAGAGGAAGGTGGACTAGGATTAGGAAGGTTAACTCTCAAGAATAGAGCTCTCTTAGGAAAATGGTTGTGGAGGTGGCCTAGAGAAAGGGAGAGGTTGTGGCATGAAGTGATAGATAGTATACATGGCAGACTAGAAAATGGATGGGATGCGGGTGTATCACGTCAAGCAACATTGGTATCTCCTTGGAAAGCAATCCAGAGCATTATCCATCAGTTTCTCAACCTTGTCATGTATGATGTCAATTCTGGGAATTCTGTTTTATTTTGGAAAGACACTTGGGCGGATACTGTTGCCCTTAAGGACTAATTCCTGTCTCTTTATTCTATTTCCCTCTACAAGGAAAAAACTATCTCTCATTTTCTCCCATCTCTTACTTCACCCTGAACCTTAAGTTGGGACTTTCATTTTCGGAGAGGCTTGATGGATGATGAACTTAACTGTGTTTTCAGATCAGTTATCTCTTCTTGGCAGTGTCTTTCTGGACCCTCTTAATGTGGATGTGATATTGTGGTCCCCTCATCCAAAAGGCTACTTCTCTTGTGCTTCCTTTTTTTAAGTTCCTTTGTTCTTCTCTGAGACAGGGGGTTTTTCCAACCAAGGAAGAGACCTGTTCCACCTAAAATTGTTATTTTTTGCTGGGAAGTGTATTAGAGAAAGATTAATACCTTGGTTTGCTTGTAGAAGAAAAGGTCTTTCATGTGTTTGTCCCCTAACTGGTGTGTACTTTGCAGGGCTAATGATGAGGATTGCTCCCACTTACTTGTATTTTGTTCATTTTCTAGTTCTATTTGGAGTTGGACTTTTTCTTTGTTTGGGTGCAGGTGGAATCTGTCCACAGATTTAAGTCACCTGTTCGATCCTTCTTTTTCTGTGTGGCCTACAAATAAAGGAAAAATTATGTGGAGATGTATTAGAGCAGCCGCCTTATGGACAATCTGGGAATAAAGGAATGCAAGGGTGTTCAAGGAAAAGGAAAGAAACATTTAGGCTGTTGAGGATTGTATCTTGATTAGGGCCATTCACTGGTTGAGAACAATGGACTTCTTTCATACTTTTTCCTTTGATGATATTTGGAGAAACTGGATAGATGTGGCTAACAACCATACAAGGAAGGGCAGGGAATTTGCAGTGTGGATCCCTCCGCCTGAAGGATGGGTAAAGCTGAACTTCGATGGCAGCAACCAAGGAAACCCAGGCCCATCGAGGATAGGAGGGGTGCTGAGAGATACGGAGATCAACATCTTAGCCTTGTTTTCAGGCCCAGCAGGAATAGGAGACTCTAATAGAGCGGAGATTTTAGCGGCGGTACAAGGTATTCAGATTGCAGAACAACTAGGAGTTCAGCGATTAGTAGTTGAAGGAGACTCTAAGAATGTTGTGGGATGGTTGATAGACCCAACTTCAGCTATGTGACGACACATAGATTTATTGAGGAAAGTCAACTGGCTCAAAAGAAACATGACTGTTACCCCTCTTTGGGTGGGAAGATCAGCAAATACCTTAGTGGATGGGTTAGCTAAAAAGGGGGCTTCAAGGGAACATTTATTCTGGGCTGCTCTGTAATTTTACTTTGGGCTATTTCTGTTTTAATATGTTGTAATACTTTATTAGAAGAGGTAACAGCCCGTGCCTCTTTTGGGTTTCCTGTATTGCCTTATTACTTTTGGATTAATAAATTATATTCATTCATCAAAAAAAAATGGAGATCAATTGACACACTATGCTATGATGATAGTATCCATTTATTGAATTGGCCATGGCAATTTTTTTTCCTATTTACCCTTGATCTTTGAGCATTTGTTTAGGTTAGCAATGATCAAGTAATGACATGGTAAGCCTTGTGCTCTAGGCTGCCCTATTAAATAAGCCATTTAACATTTCTTACTATCCTTATTGTCATAATTTGACCAGATGCAACAAAGTTGCACATGGAATTATTTTGTAAACTATTCCCCATGCAATTGTTTTGTTGACCATCTCTATGCTTTCTCATTATGCCACCTTACATAACTCAACTGTGCTGAAACTGAAAATGTGCAGTGAGGGAGAATTTGCGAGCTGCAAAGAAGGAGTTTGCTAAAACTGAAGATGATCTGAAGTCACTCCAGAGTGTTGGACAGATCATTGGGGAAGTTCTAAGGCCTCTTGATAATGAGCGGTGTATGTTTTTTTTCTCTCTCATGTACCTGCTAAGGTTGTCTAAAAAGTGAACCCCAAAAGAAAACTTTCCCCCTTGTTTCAGTTTATGAACCAATTATGTTTAAAACCCACATAGATGTATTTTTTAAGAAACTAATAAAAGAATATCGTATTGGTTTTTGGAAACCTTTTCTGGGTCTGATTTGTAAAACTTGTTATGTTTTTTAGTGATATAATGTGGACAACTTAGTGTTGTTGCCTTGTTGTATGGCTTCTTCCATCTCATGCATCCTGGGATGTTCTGGTTCTTATTTTGTTATACATCAGCACAATGATACCCTAATTGTGACTAATTTGGAAAAGAGAAGGGAAAAAATCATTTGAAGAAGTATAATCATTGTTTCTACTTTCTAGTGGGGATAAACCTCAAGAATTCTTTCTTTTCTCTGTTTCTTGGCATGCATTACTAATGACCCTAGAAGTAGTTGGTGAGAATGTAATTGACTGTTTGTTCTTTCCTCATCAGTGATAGTTAAAGCGAGTAGTGGCCCACGGTATGTTGTTGGCTGTCGCAATAAAGTAGATAAAGAAAAGCTGACAGCAGGAACAAGAGTGGTACTTGACATGACAACCCTCACAATTATGAGAGCTCTTCCGCGTGAAGTAAGTGATTGGCTTAACTTGTTTGAAAAACAATAGTGACCGGAAACTAATTTTTTGATGATGATGTTATTCCATTATGGTCTGCCTTTGTTTTTTTTTTTCTTGAAAGGCAGAGGCGGAAGTAAATCTTTGGTTGTTCCAGTATCCGGTTTTATGTGGTTATTGGTTGTAGGTTGATCCAGTTGTTTACAACATGCTTCATGAAGATCCTGGTAATGTTAGCTACTCTGCTGTTGGTGGGTTGTCTGATCAAATCCGGGAACTCAGGGAATCTATTGAGTTGCCTCTTATGAATCCTGAACTCTTTCTTAGAGTAGGGATCAAACCTCCGAAGGTAATATTTATGTGGAGCTTGTAAATATTTTTAGCATCCGTTGCATCCTGTGTTATTAGCAATCTATGTATTGCACTCTCATATTTTCTGCCTTATCTACATTAGGACGATTTTGACTGTTAAAGCTCACATTTTTAATGATTTCAGGGTGTTCTTCTGTATGGGCCTCCTGGAACTGGCAAAACATTGCTAGCCAGAGCTATTGCAAGTAACATAGATGCCAATTTCTTGAAGGTAGGCTTTCTTTTTTGTTCATTACTGGAGCAAGAATTTTGTTATCCATCTATGTTTTATTATTTATATCAATATCAAATATACTGAAGTGTTCAACCATTTGCAATTAATCTAGGTTGTATCAAGTGCCATAATTGATAAATACATAGGAGAAAGTGCCAGATTGATAAGAGAGATGTTTGGATATGCGCGGGATCACCAAGTAAGACGCCAAATTGAGCTCTGCAGACTCTATTTGGGGGTATGGTGCTGGACTTATTACTGTGAGAAGTTCCATTCTGATACATTTTTTTCCTTGTCAAGCCTTGCATAATATTTATGGATGAAATTGATGCCATTGGTGGGCGGCGGTTTAGCGAAGGAACAAGTGCAGACCGGGAGATACAGAGAACATTGATGGAACTTCTCAATCAGCTTGATGGTTTTGATCAGCTTGGGAAGGTAAGTTCCTCCTAACCTAGTTCAACATGTTTCCTTGAGGAACCTAGTGAGGGGGAAGGGAGAAGAGACAGCTTATCAATAGTCAGTGTTGATGAGGAGACGATATAAATGTCTTGAAACTCTGGTTGTCCATTGACCTGTTGACCCAAGGTCTATAATGAAACTTATTTGAAATACTAAAGTAATATAAAAAATAAAAGATTGCATAACTTATCAGTGAGTATTTCTTACTTTGACGTGTCCACTAGTTCTGCCTGTCAGCCTGTAAAATATTCTCTTCTCCTATAGGCCCAAAAGTATTCACTAATATAAATTATTAGGGAGTATTTGTTACTGACCCTTTAAAATATTCTCTTCTCCCTGTAAAATATTTACTAATATAACTTACTAGTGACCCTTTTGTTTTTTGTTTTATTTTTTTTTTCTATAGGCAATACTTATTTTCCTTCCAGCTGACATCTCTCAAACTATAATACTTGGATGCTTGTACATGCCTGGTGTACTGGTATTGGACACAGTATGTACTGGATATGAAATCAAATACTGCATGGACACTTCTAGATATACTCTATGGGATTAACACTTTTAAAATGCATGAAATGATGCCATTAACAAGTCATATCATAAAAATCTGTATATGTTTGAAATTTAATTTTGGCAAGACATTAATATCAAAAAATGAAACTTAACCAAATACAAAAGCATGATATAAGCATATTATTGTTTAGAATGGAAGGTTTTTGGACCCTTAGGTTCTTGTTAAGGAAACCAAATACTTTGTCTTCTTACATGAACTTTCATTCAAATGGACAATTGACCAATAGCCTTGCTGACTCTCCAGCAAGAACAGGGGTAAATAGAAATGATTTCGTATGGGGAGTCGAGGTCTGGGGTTGAGTTCGTAAATCTGATTTACATTTAAAATCGTGTAACTTGGCTGGCTTTGTACCAGCCCCCTCATTATAACACATTAGAGTTGGGGATCTCATTTTTCTTTACCAGTAAATTATGTTTTATTATTTCTGGTGACTAAGAAAAGAAAACTTGGTCAATTTACATGGAAATAGTTGAGCTTGATGGTGTCTGGTTTCTAGCAATTGGTGTCTTGACTTTTTTCTTGGCATAGTCTAGTATTGGCTTGGTGACATCAGTGATTAAATTATTTGGTGTTATCTGGGTTTCACAAAATGATCATGAAACCTAGGGTAATTCCCTAGGTTCCATTGCAACCAGCAACCATCTTTCACTTGTAATTCTCTGTAACCTTCATAAAAAGTATTAACTTTGTATTAAGACATAGAAAATCAGGGTATTCATGAGAAGAAAAAGAAGAAAAAAAATCAGAAAATCTAGGTGTTGCCTTGACACTATGGGCTTTCATTTTGTGAGGGAGTTGCCTTGACACAAATAATGAAGTGGATTAATGGTTACAAGACAATGTGCATGGAAAAAAGGTCACGGGTTTGAATCTTGCCATTTGCATTTTGAATATTCCACACATTTGAGACCTGAGCAGTTTTAAGAAGCCGGGCTGGTTCACCATTTTCTGGTTAAACTAACCAGTCAGCCGATTTTGGGCAGTTTTTTTACCTATTCTGATTTCTAGGGTATGACTGAATGGGATATATGGCCGGGCATGTTGTTTCTTGGCACAGTTGGTCACTTGATCTTCTATGCATGTGCCCAAACCATCTTCATCTACTCTCTCTCATTTTATCACCTATTGGAGCTACTCCTAGGTTCCTATGGATAACTTCATTCTTAATCATATCCTTTCTAGTTTTACCACTCATCCATCTTAGCATTTGCAATTCTGCCCATTCATTTTCTGGACATCATGTTTTTTGACTGCCCAAATGCATCTATCACATAAGTGGTATTCACCTATCACATAAAAGTCCAAATGAATCTCCGTTTTGTCCCTCCTGCTCTATTTTTTTTGGGTGACATCATTCTCAATCTCTCCCTTGTTATGAATTATTGAACCAAAATACGAGAAATGGTCACATCGAGTCATCTCTTGGTCTCCAATCCTTAGTGTATCTAGATTTATACTCCTATTATTACTAAATTTACATGTCATATACTTTGTTTTAGTCCTACTTATTTTAAAACCTCTTGTTTCTAAGGCTTTCCCTCTTTCAGTGCAAGTCTGTATTTGCATGAAAAAAAGGGAAAGGTAAAAATACTTTCTACTTGAAAAGTCATTTTCTTTTCATTTCGTGGGGAATGTTTATGCTCTGGTATTATTTGATGCCAACCTTACTCTGATCGGTAGTTTTACAAGAGAATGTGAGATGTCCATTTTACAAAAAATGACATGAGCGTACCATGCCCTGCCTGGGGACATGGGACCTGTATGTGGTCTGGGACCCCTGTAGCTTGCCACCTGTCCCATGCCTTAAGAATCAGTTTTGACATTTGAATGGGCCCCGGTTATAACCATGGCTGTGCTGCAAACCAGTTTAATTTGATGAATTTTAATGATCTGATTTGAGCATGATTTATATAACTGTTTTTTTGTCGAGAAACTTTTCTCCAGTCCATTTTATGGCAGTCACATTAGAGGGTTATAGCTTACTGTAGAAGCTGATTTTTGGCTCATTTATTCTTTTCAGATGGACCATGTGATCTGATGTGGGTTCCAAGTTACGGGGGACTCCAGACCCATATAGGGGTGATGTGTCCCCAACCCCTAGATTTGACCCTCAGGCATACCCACCTGCCACCTGGGGGGGGCATTAGAAAGGCTTTGTTCTCCGGTCCAATAGAGGAAGGGGGCTCTCAAAGGGCAGAATAGACAACTATGATTCAAGGAGTATAGAAGGCAAGAGTCATGAAGATTGGAAAGCTAGTGGCAGAAGGGGGGGGGGGCTCAATGGTGGTTGTGAGGTGGCTGAGAAATAAGAAAGAAACTATATGCAGTTTTAGGAATGGAATCAAAATGTTCAAGTGGTTAAATCAAGGAATGCAGGTGCAATGGGTTCAAAGACTAGCCAATGCTTTGGCTGGTGAGCTGTCTAAACAAGGGGTGAATATAGAAATTAGTTATTATGGGCTGAGTTGTAATTGTATTATAGTTATATCTTAAAGGGGAAGAGAAAGCCAGTTTTTTCTTTGTTGATATGTATTTCTTTGTACATTTATTTTTATTAATTACATGAATTCATGTTATCTATCCTAGAAAGAAATGTTCTACTTGACTACGATGTTACATCTCCTCCAGCAAAGAGAGAGAGAGAGAGAGAGATCCTTCGCGATACCCACAGGTTTCCTGTCAGTTTTGGATGTGGATGTTCGTTTCTTTTGAAGTGTTGGATGCTTTTTTACGTGATAGTAACTGGTTCTATATATATATATATATATATATATTGATTTTAATAGTTTCTGAGTGAATACAAGATCTGATTATTGCAATTGATGATAGGTCAAAATGATTATGGCTACGAATCGACCTGATGTCCTGGATCCTGCACTTCTTCGTCCAGGTCGACTAGACAGAAAAATTGAGATCCCATTGCCAAATGAGCAATCAAGAATGGAAATTCTAAAAATTCATGCTGCTGGGATTGCAAAACATGGAGAAATTGACTATGAGGCAGTGGTAAAACTTGCAGAGGTAAGCTCTTTATCTTGTTAATAAGCCTATATCACGATTTATCTTTTATTTTCTTCTTTTGTTTGTATGTTGCATCTGTTACCAGTAGGCTTTATGGCTTTCACCCATTGCAGGGATTCAATGGTGCTGATCTTCGGAATGTTTGCACTGAAGCGGGGATGTCAGCAATCCGTGCTGAACGTGATTATGTCATCCATGAGGATTTTATGAAGGTACTCTTTTTCTTTCTTTTTTTTTGGGGGGGGGAGAGGTACATGCATGCAATTAACTTTGCTATAGCCCTTTGATGTCTCTGCCATTGCAACTGATGGATGGATTTTTTGGCATGAAAATCTATATAGAGATTAAAGTAGCAAAATTATCAGTCACAACAATGGGGAGCTTTGTCAATCCATTTTTTTTCAGTTATTGCAACTATACAAGCCGGCCCAATTTAATTGGGAAGGGTCTCTGAGTTGAGTAGTATTTTTGACAAAAGCTAATACATTTATATATCAATCATTACATGTATAGGCCATGTATGCATCATGTACAGCTAGGAACTATACATCTAGTGGTTACAACTACTGTTGTTACAGTTTCTACTTTTTTTCTTTCGGTCACAACAAATGTTGTTACAGACAAGTATCTGGATAACAACCATTCTAATCTGAACGGCCTTGCATTAGTTACCATTATAATGTAACTTTGTTATTTGGTGATAGCAACCCTGTTAATCTGAACAGGTGATAATGGCATTGCATTGTTTTCCAATCAATATAAAGTATTTATTTATTTATTTATTATTATTATTTTTTATGGTTACAACCGAATACCATAAAAATTGTCTTAAGTAGTAAAGAGTGTGTTCCCTCGAGGCCGTGGATTTGGTGAATTGTGTGGTGCCTACTGCCTGGTATGTTTGCCAGTTCTGGTTTTAATTTTTAAACATTGGGCTGCACATGAAGCATTCCTTATTCTTTAAATTTGTTTGTTTTGTTCCACTTGGTAAGCGTAGGTTGGCATTTATTTCATTAAACGAGTACCATTTGTTGTTGAAGTTTGGGGTTGTCTCTTTTGGTTATTTTGATGCAACAGTTTATTGACCTTTTTATCTCATGTAAACAATGGTCAGTTTTAACAAGTGCTCGACCTTTTACTGCTTTTCAGGCAGTCCGTAAACTGAACGAAGCAAAGAAGCTCGAGTCAAGTGCCCACTACAATGCTGACTTTGGGAAGGACTGATCAGAAAATACACGCTGCTCTGTTGTTTTAGCCATGGATGTTGGGGCAGTGCATTCTCTTTTTATTTTTGTCTCGATTGTGTATTAAATCTGCAGGCATTCCTTGATCCCAAGTTCGAAATTTTAGCATAATGATTTTGGGAGGTCTGTGTTACTGTTTGTCAACCAAAAACTTTTTTTTTTTGCTACAAAAACAAGTGAGATGATGATAATGAAGAGTTTCGTTAGCTAAGGCAGGTGAAGTGTTCTATTCAATATTTGACGAGAACCGGTGGTTTGTTTTCTCTGTTCAGCTGGGTGGGTTCTAGCTTCTAGTCCGGTATCTGGAATTGACATGCAATATGCCTGGTTTTGAATTTAGGGGTTTTTATAGTTCAGTCCACCTCCAGGGTGGAGTTAAAACTGAATCCTGCCCGTGGGTTGATGCCAAATTCACGGGCAGGATGCGGTTTATAGGGGGCGGGGCTACTAGTAGATTAGGAGGGGGCTGCTATTCAGATTAATGAGGTGGATTGCAGTCCACTTATCCCTTTGAAATTTTATCATATGTATCAATCGGAGTTTAGTTTCACAAATTACAAGCTTAGACCCTGTTTGTCATCAATTCTCCCATTCTTATTTTTAAAATCCATCTATTTTAAGAATTTTTCAATTTTAAAAAAGAGTGAACTGTTTGGAACTACTTATTTCTTCTCAGAGTAGTTTTCTCCAGCAATAATTGTCAGAATGGTTTTCTGCAGCACACAGTCATCAGAGTTTCACCAGCAATAATCGTCACAGCTCTTCATCGTTATTCAACGCCAGTAGAACGTGCCTTGGGCTTGTTGTCTTGTGCTGCGTTACTACTTGCCAGCCAACTTCAGCATCTGAAGCTAGGGGTGCAAGTTGGGTTGGTCCGAGCTAATAAGTACACTGCTTCGGATTCAGGCTTCGGGTTGTGCTCATTAAAATTTTGACAAAATCTCAACCCTGACTTACAAAAGTTGCATCTCTACTTGAAGCCAAATTATATTAACATCAGAATCTCAAGAAAACTTCCGAAGGAAGGGAGTAAAAAAGCGTGAGTCCTGATGCAATGAAGTCAAATGCAAGTTTGGTCCTCACTGAACTTAAAGACATCTTGTGTATTTACTATTTTGACGAGATAATTGACAATATCAAACATGTTATATTTGATTTTAAGAGAGCGGTAGAGAATTTCTAAAGTTGGAAGAAACTATGAACAAAAATGGCATTTCCCTTCAAAGATTTCTACTTTGTTTCTTGTTTATAAAAAAATAAAAAAAAAATAAACAAGAAAATACAAGCTCGAACATTTTGAAATCCAGCCAAATTTCCAAAGGATAGAATGAAAAGAAATGTTAAAAGAAAAAACAGCATTAAATAAAAGGTTGAAATTTTGGCAAGGAAATAGTAGTGACAAACGAAAGCAAGCAAAAGGAATAAGATACAGATATAAAAATTGAGCCAAAGAGAAGGATACTACCTCAGCTGCAAGATATTCAAGGACAACGACCAAATAAACAGGGGCACCAGTTCCAACATGCTGTGAATATCGGCTCTTTTTAAAGTACCAATTGATCATTCCAACACTTAAATAGGATAAAAATGCCTCTTTTAATAATGGATTTTTATGGCTAAAATGGTCATTGCATTATTTATCTGAAAAATTAAAGAACATGGGTAAATGCATGGTGCACTTACCTGGGTAAGTGTTTCCTAAGAAAAATTTACCCAAATAATTGCATTTACCTAGATAAATAACTTACCGAAAAGCGAATGGGGCGTAAAAGAAAAGTAGTAAAAATAAGGATCACTAGATGAACAACAGAATACACCCCTTGCAATTTGCTGATGCTTATGGAAAGAGAATGTTTTTCATAAAAAATAAGAGAAATCTAGTGAGGCTCAAGTGAAGATCGGAGTAATTGAATGGATGTTCATTCTAGAGACTTTGAGGGCCATCTTTTTGCTTGTTTTTGTAACAAGTAGGTGCTGTCATTTTTAACTCTTGGAGAGGAGGGTCGTTAATCATGCATTCATGCTTTTCCTCTTTTCTTGTTACTTAATTTGGTCTTCTTGACTGAAATTTGCTTTAATTATCACAAAGAATAATTGAAGTGAATTTATATATCAACATAGAGAGATATATGATTTATTTGGTTTAAGTTTCCTTGTCATTGCATCCGACACAAATAAGTATCGAAGTAAGATGGCATATAAAATCATGTAATACAGATCACAGATTTCAAATTAACTAATAGCAATTAGCAACAATAAACGATAATGACCAAAAGACTCTTCCTAATATAGAATCCAATCCATTCACAATGGAAGAGTTCTACCTTCTCTCTAAAGCACCACTTTTCAATATCAAGGTGGTTCTGCCATAGCTGATGAACAGACTTTGAAACTCCTTTTGGCACCCAAGAAATGGCTGAAATCATTTTGAATACAAAGTGTCCTGTCTAGAAGGAACAAGAATGAAAATGCCAAAATAGGTAAGCAACAATACTATAGTAAAAATCTTACTATTTACAATACCATGCACAATTTGAATCATGAATCCCAAAGGTTTTGATTCTTGTGTACAAATCCTTCTCTAAAAATCTTACCTTTTTTTTTTGTTTTAATCCTACAATTTGAATCATAAATCTTATTTTGTATACAATTCTTGTGATTCAGGTCAGTTCAATTAAGAATTAATTCTCTACTTTGCTATTTTATCTTGTTAATATTTAGTTTTGTTAAGGGTGACTTATTTTAAGGACCTTAATAGAACTAACTTATTTATGTTATTTAAGATCATATATTGAGTTGGTTTTCCATGATATGATGGATAAAGAATCATTATATCTGAATTATTTGGCTTTCAAGCTAAACTTGAATATATCATGTTGGACTTTTATTATATAGGTGGTAAATTCTATTGATTTAGGTACATGCATAGGTATTGATTAAAAATAGGGTAGAATCATGTTGATATACATTTGAACTGTCCAAGCAACTGGTTCTATTTCACCTTGATTTGGTCAACAATCCATTAACCCGGGTGGTTGAACCATCGGCCCGTTCAACAGTTCTTGGCTGATTTTTTATTTTAATTATTTTTTTTCTATTTTTCAGTTGGAATGGCCATTCAAACCGGATAATTGGACTGTCGACCTGGAAACTGGTAACCAGAATGGTTCTGGTTCCAAGTCGGTTTTTAAAACATAGGCAATCCATTGACCCGGGTGGTTGAATGATTGGCCCGTTCAATCTGTTCAACAGTTCTTGACTAATTTTTTATCTTAATTATTTTTTCTATTTTTCAATTGGAATGGACCATCCATTCAAACTGGATAGTTGGACAATCGACCTAGAAACCAGTGACCAAAATGGTTCCAGGTCGGCTTTTAAAACATAGGCCAACGGGTTATAACAGAAACAAGCCATACGGGGAAACCGAATAAAAAATTAGCTTTCAATATTTATGTATGTGATCTTTCCTTAAGATGATCTGATTTACCTGAATATAAAATATACTATTGATGATGGATTTGTGATTAGTGATGCCTACCACGCACTCAGGTGTTGTAAAGGAGTTGAGTTATCTCGTGAGCCTGAGAAAGCTACGTAGCTTCCTAGCCAAACACAGGCTTCAAGTTAAGCTCATATATCCAGATACACCTGAGCCCTGATAGAATTGGTGTAACTTGCTCAAAGCCAAACTCCTTTACACATGGTACATATATGCACGTGCTCATCATATGTTCAAATTTCATTTTTGAATATTAGACTCTATTAAATAGTCTATGACTATGGGCTATGTATCTATTACTGTACAGTACAAAGCATGTTGTATGCTAAGCTTTGTCTTGTAATTCTTGCTTGGTCAGGTTATGTCTCTACTCTCTACCTTATATGATGGTCCTAATAAAGAGTACGAGACTTCTAATTAAATTCAACTATGTCTCATCCTAATTACGTTTGGGGTAAATTACAGATAGATGGGTATCCTGCGTTTAGGGGGTAGTGACAGATACATACCTGAAAATTTTAATTGCAACACTTGAGTATCCAGAACTCTCAAAAATAGACACTTGGGTCCATTCATTAATATCACATCAGTAAAACATTATATAATGTCAAAAATACCCTTCTTATGTATTTTTGAGATCAATATATGGAATAAAATCATCAACAAAGAATGTTATCGTCGGAAATTTGAATCTATTATTTGCTGTCCATGCGAGAACGTCATTGTGGGGAGACGTTCAGTTACCTGATAATGATCTAAAAAACACACGAGAAGGGTATTTTTTTTTGGCATTATGTAATGTTTAACTAACGGAATACTAGTGAATGGATCCAAATGTCTATTTTTGAGAGTCTAGGGTACTCAAGTGTTACAATTGAAAGTTTAGGTACCTATCTATCACTATCCCTAAAGTACAGGGTACCTATCTGTAATTTTGGTTGGCTATATCTGTCGTGCTTTGATGTTCCACTTTGTCAGTGGCCAACTATTCATTTTGAGAGTAGGAACAACTTAGGGTGTTTGAGAGGAAAAATAAATTAAAAGTAAAACTTAACATTGACATTTGCACCATTCTTTGCAACTATTGTTTGAAGTGATATACGTCACCTTCATCCTCCAAGCGAAGAGTTTACGCTATGCATGTGAGCTAGGAAGGTGCATAGTAGATTAGGTTAGGATCAATGAAGTTTACTGATAGTGAAGCTATGGTGCTAGGTTTTCCCATTGCCATGCACTTTGCCATACAAGCATAGTTTTCCATTGTGAAACAAGGAGCAATATGGGCAGTGTTTGCATCAATGTCATTTTCTGAGAAAACGGTGCCACTGAAGGGATGAAAGATCCATCATATAAATGGCCGAACCATGCAGAGTGGTTTGGCAAGATTTCAAAAAAATTTCTTTCTCCCATTTGGGAATCGTATTCCCTAATTTAGAAAAACTGCATTTTTCAAGTTTCGTTCTTGAAACAAACCAGACTAAATCTGAAACCAAAAGAGGGAGAGGGATATACCTGATATTAATCCATGCAAGTAGCTCCCAACGTAGGTGTTCATGCCTAAAGAGGTCACCAAAACCCGCCTCCACTGAATATGACACAGCTTATAATGAGGTAGAATCAACATGAATCACACAGGGATGTGGGTACGAATTCAAATTGTTTTCTTCTATCAAGAAACAATATCAAGATCTAATCTTAATCACTTCCAATAGTGGAGATCGAATAAGGCAGG